GAGAGAGAGACAGACAGACAGACAGACAGACAGACAAGCTGGGGAGGGGGAGAGGATGTTGGAGGAAGGAAGAATGCTTGTTAGTTCTCAGCCGCCCAGCTAGCTTAGACCTGAAATAATCACACAGAAACTGTATTAATTAAATCATTGCTTGGCCCATTAGCTCTAACTTCTTATTAGCTAACTCTTACATCTTAGTTTAACCCATTTCTAGTAATCTATGCATCTCCAGCTAAAGTAATCTGTGGCTTACTGGCTAAAGTTCCCAGTGTCTGTCTCTGGAGGCTCCATGGCTTCTCCCTGACCCCACCTTTCTTTCTCCCAGCATTCAGTTTAGTTTTCCCACCTAGTTCTGTTCTGCCCTTGCCATAGGCTCAAAGTCGTTCTTTATTGATTAACCAATAAAAGCAACACATAGAGAAAAGGACCTCCCACACCAAAAGGAGCTACAGCAGCAGCTACCTCTCTGGGAGAGAGACAGAAAAGGGAAGGACCCAGACTGGAAGCTGAAGATCAGCTTGCCTAGGTGAACTGGGCAGTGGACGAGGGTGGGGGTGGAGGGAGTGGGGGGGGGTGGCTTGTGCCTTAAAGGGACAGGACAGATTATTACACATGTGAGTGTTGAGAATCAAATCCGAGCAGACAAGTTCTCTTAACCAATGAGCCCTCTCTCCACCCCACTATTATCTCTCCAGCCCCCTATTTATTTTTTGAGACCAGGTCTAACCATGAAACTCTGGCTGGCCTGGAATTTGCTGTGTAAATCATCCTTCAATTAGGGATCTGACTGCCTCTCCCGGTCAAGTTCTCAGATCAAAGGCCTGCGCCACCACCACTCTCAGCCAGCCATTGCTGCTTTTTAACAGTGGGGTTTTGTTTTCAGGGCGTGGCGTGTTGGCTGAGACAGTTCTCTTTGTAGCCCTAGTTGTCACTCTGAAGTTCAGGCTGGCTCAGAAATCTACCTTCCTCTGCCTCCCAGAGTGGTAGGATTACAGGTGTGGGATTTCTATTGTAAATGTTCTGGATATTAATCTCTTAGGAGGCAGGGGATTTTCAAATACTCCCTCTTCTGAATTGTGAGCAGTCTTTTCTAGCAAACATGGCCGGGCTGCCAAAGCTTACTATTTCATAAACCTTCCTCATCATGTGAAACCCTGCCTGTTCGCCCAAGCCTTGAATACCAGGCATTCCTGAGAGTGCCGGTCATACCCTACACTATTATGAATAAGCCTAGCGTTCAGATAGTAAGGTTGTAGAGTGAAACACCCCCACCACCCTGCCTCCTGCCCAGGTGTGCTGGCTCACCCCGTTGGATCATTGTGCCGCCTTTTGCAAAAGTAGACATTGCCTTGCGGAGTTACCTTTGCGTTGTCCACATGTCTGTCTGTCTGTGTGACACCAGGACTATTCCAGCAGGTCTCATAGATCTTCCCTCTGTTGACAGTGTCCTTTGTTGGACCAAGGGTTTCATATTATGTAACTCAACTTACCTTTTTATTCTGTTGTTCTTCTGTTGCTACTAATCTTGGTAAAAGATTAAATATTGTCACCCCCTCAAAAAAAAAAAGAAAGAAAGAAAAGAAAAGACTCATATGTCCATGGTCTAGTCAGGCATGGTGGTGCATATCTTTAATCCCAGCACTCAGGAGGCAGAGGCAGGCAGATCTCTGTGAGTTCGAGGCCAGCCTGGTCTATAAGAGCTAGTTCCAGGACAGTCAGAGCTATAGAATAGCAAGCCTCTGTTAAAACAACAACAACAACAAACCTACTATATCTAGAGTAATAAATAAAGAAGTAGACTTAGAAAATACATCTGTGAATCCAGTAGAAGGTCTTTAAAATGTAGCAAAGCCTGCCAGGCATGGTGGCGCATGCTTGTGCCAGCCTTTGAGGGGCTGAAGCAGGAGGTTATACTTCAAGATCAGTGTTAACAGAGTGAATTCCATTCTGGGCTATATAACAAAGCCTCTCAAAAGAGAAACCAATTCTAGGATTGTGGCTCATTTAAGGCTAATGAAAAGCCAGAGCTGTCGAATTCTTCACTGATATGACAGCCATCTGACCAACCAAGTTTAAGGAACTGGTTGCCTCTGTTAATTTTTAAATTAGGCAAACAATTTATTTGGCTGTGTGATTCTAAAAGTAGATTTTATTTTGGGGACAGGGTACCCCTATGTAGCCTTAGCTAGCCTCAGGCTCACTGTGTAGGCCAGGCTAGTTTCAAACTTAGAATCCTCCTGCCTCTACTTCCTGGTGCTGGGATTGCAGGTGTGGGTCAACACTGCATCCACAGCCTAGTTTTCAAAATGAAAGCCAACTGTTTTCTGAGTGTCTGGAGCACCTCAGAACTTTTTAACGTTTTGGAAGCCCTGGTCCTCTTAAAGTTAGGGGAGCAAACAGGATTTTTTTCTGTCTGTCTACACCACACATGCCATACTCACCCCAAACCGTTGCTCTGCAGACCCAAGCAGCTCTGGATCCCTATCGTTCCCAGAAGGCCCAGTGTCTCTCCTGCCTCCTTTGTTCTTCCTGCCTTCTCTCCATTACTCATGCTGCTCTCTTTCTCGAATGTTCTTTCCCCCTAAAGTTCCTCTGCTTCCCCTTCATCCATAAGGAGTACCCTGGAAACTTGTGTTAGTACCACAGAAACCATCTCCCATCTCCGGCACAGAGAAAACGGCCCTGGGTTTGCATCCCCGCCACGCTGTTTATTCCCCTTGGCACTGAGCAAGTTGCTCCAGCTTCTGACTTGCTTATCTCACCCATACATTGGGATGTGGGAACCTACATTGTATTTGTCATAATTATATGCCTGACAATAGGAGCAGTTGCCCCTGGAGGCAGCAGCAGAAATAGTATTGCTATAATTAGAACGTAATTTCTCATCTGACGGGTTATAGTGGGATCCGCCCCGAAGATCTGAGTGTTGCCAGCATGATAATGGAGTGCACCCAACTGTGTGCTGCACCCATGGTGTGACTGGGGGTATTCTTATAAAGCTCAGTGTTCGCCTCTGAGTGTTAGCAGATCCTTCATCTAATGGTTTAGGAAACCCGCCAACCAATCACAGTGAGGAGCCCTCAAGAGCAAAGGGGTAAAACCTGCGCTAGGAGGTCGGACGAACCTCCATCAACTCCAGTGCCCCGGCTGCTGTTCCTGGGTACTCCTTTGTACCCCTGATGGCTAATACTGTCAACCTGGCAGGACCTAGATCACAAAGACGACCACCTTCTGAGCTTCCCTGTGATCTAGTCTCTAGATAGGATCCACAGAGGACGGAAGAGACGCCCTAAATGTGAACAGCACCCGGGACAGAGACAGAAGAAAAGGGAGTGAGTGAGCTGAGTCATAACGTTCATCTCTGCTTCCTGGCTTTGGGTACAATGTGACTCTATGCTCCTTCTGCCATCATAGGCTGTACCCTAGAACTGAGCCCAAATCAATCCTTCCTCAAGATGCTTTATAGTGGTGAGGGCAGTGACGGACACAATACCAAAATCTATTTCTGGGATTTTGTTATTTTCATTACTAGCAGATATTGGCAAAATTCTCAATATAGTCCACTCACCACATAGTGACATTTTTGGTCAGCTGGAAATCTTCTATGTACAATAGTTCCATAAAATTAGATCACCTAATAACACTGTAGCCATCTTACTATGCAAGTATACCCTATGGTGTTTATGCACTGATAAAATTACCTCCCAACAGTTTCTCAGAACACACTTCCCCATCCATACATGAGGCACAACTGTGTTGTGCATGCTTTAAACATTCAGCTGCCCTTGTGACCTCAGTGATCCAAGCCCTTCAAAACTTAATCTTATAAGAGACTGGTTAGGGCCAGTTGTGGTGACACACGCCTTTAATTCCAGTAAATGGGAGGCAGAGGTAGGTGGATCTCTGAGTTCGAGGCCAGCCTAGTGATCTACAAGGTGAGTTCCAGGATGGCTAGGAACTCAGAAAAACCCTGTCTCGAGAAAACCAAAATAAATAAAGAGAGAATGGTTAGGGAATGTGTGGTCAGAGATTTATGGAATCAATAAGCGGTTCAGTAGGAACACTAGAAGGGAACCTAGGAAAGCTTCCAGATAGATCACACCTCTGTAGAGACTCAAAGGATGGTGTTCAGAGAAGAAAAGGTAGGAAATCTGGTTGTCATATGAGTCATTTATGTCTTTGGTTTTGTTGTTTTGAGACAGGGTATTTCTGTGTAGGCCGAATTAACAGAGATCTACCTGATGCTGGAATTAAATGGGTGTACCACAATGCCCAGCTGATTTGCTTTGGGGATGTCTTAAGAGTCCTAACCCTTAGTTAGGGTTTCTGTTGCTGTGGAAAGGCACCATGACCATGACAGCTCTTACAAAGGAAAGCATTTGGTTAGGGCTGGCTTACAGTTTCAGAGGTTTAGTCCATTATCTGTCGAGGGGAAGCATCACAGCACAAAGGCAGACATGGTGCTGGAGAAGGAGCTGAGAGTTCTGCATTCATAAGAGAGCTCAAAGTCTGCCTCCAAAGTGGCACACTTTCTCCAACAAAGTCACACCTACCCAACAAGGCCACACCTCCTAACAGTGCCACCCTATGGGCCAAGCACTCAAACACAAGAGTTTATGGGAGCCATTCCTATTCAAACCACCACAGGGGGTATTTATATTTATGTGTACGAATGTTTGCCTTATATACATATCTGTGCACCCCTAATGTTCAATACCTGAGGAAGCCAGAAGAGGGCGACAGATCCCCTGGGACTGAATTTAGAGACAGTTGCCATGTTGGTTGTGGAAATTGAAACTGAGTCCCTTTGGAAGAATAGCCAGTGCTCTTAACTGCTGAGCCATCTCTCCAGCCCCTCATTCACTTATTGTACATATGTTTTCTTTTTGCTTTATTTTAGACGATGTACTTGAAAATGCACGACTGGAAATTGAAAAATTGAAAAACAATCTGATAAAACTGAAAGAAAGTGGTGAGTCATTAGCATATATCGTAATAATAGATCAAACAATAGCATAGTATGTGCAGTTTAAAATATCACTTAAGAGGGCTGGAGAGGTGTCTCAGAGGTTAAGAGCACTGACTGCTCTCCCAGAGGTCCTGAGTTCAATTCTCAGCAACCACATGCTGGCTCACAACCATCATATAATGATATCTGATGTCCTTTTCTGTCATTCAGGCATAGATGCAGGCAAAACACGGTACATAATAGGATAAATAAATCTTTTTAAAAACATAAATATCATGTAAGAACTCCATGGCTGACACTTAAGGCTCTTACAGAGGACTCAAGTTTGGTTGCAGTGCCCATATTAGGCAAGTCGCAGCCACCTGTAACTTCAGCTCCAGGGGATTTGACACCCTCTTCTGGCCCACATGCACAGACACACAGACACTCACACATAAGCGACACAATAAGACAAATCTTTAAAAATGTTTTTAATAATGACAATGACAAGTACCACTCCTGAAGCCATTGCTACTCTTGCTGTTGCAGCTGCCATCACTTCCTCCCCTGCAGCAGGGGTCACCCCGCCAGGAGCTTCTCATGATTCTCCTTAATGCTGGGTACCGAATATGATTATCCCCACAAAATATACAAAATATACCACAACTGATGTGTGAATCCTTATATCTGATTCCAAAATCTGTCACCAGGACAGAGAACTCAGGTGGCACTGAGACCCCTGGAGCCAAGGGCCCTTATAGTCTGTTCAACAATACCTCCCTCATACTTGGTCACTGGAAAGCCAATAGGCCTGGAATGGTGTTGAATGAGCTAATCTGACACTGCCTTTGCTATTTAATAATGCTACCAGCTATTGTAAAATTTGGATATTCCAATGGTCACAACAAAAATTATTTATAGAATATTTTTGTCAATTGTAAATAATTCCAAAATCAGTCAAAATTCCAAAATCCTTTCCTTTAAAAATGTAGGATTATGATTGTGAACTTAAAAGTATCTACAGTGACTCATAGATCAGGTAATTCATAAAACCAGTAAAGATGCAGAAGACTTAAAGGTCCTAGAGTCAAAAGTCCTGGGTGATACTTATAGAAAACACTGGGATGTACATTGTTTTCATATACCAATAAAATGTTTGCCAGGAGAGACCCTCTGAGGGCGTCCAACAAGGCCATTAACAAAGGATCGCACAAGTCACAGTCATGTGGGAGTAAACTAGAAATTCGGGACAGGGGTATACTGAAAAAGTTCCCAAATATTTAAAAAATAAAGGGATGCTTCCAAAGAGACTCTGGTATTGGGGGGAAAAAGTCACAAGAGATATCAGAAAATACTTTGAATTGACAAAAATGGAGAGATGACATTATCAATTGTACCAGGCTTTTTCTTTTGGACCACCGACCAGCTTCCAAATCATGACCCAGAGACTTAGTTTCGAATGCTTGGCCTTAGCTTAGCTCTTTTCTTGCTAGCTCTTTAATTTAACCTGTTTCTCTTCATCTGTGTTTTACCTTGGGGGGAGGGTGTTACCTCTTTCTTTATACCTTACTTTCCTGCTGTCTCTGTGTCTGGCTGGCTGCTGACTGTCAGCGCCTTCTTCTTGCCCTGGGTGTCTTTCTTGTTTTCTCCTCCTTCTTTTTCTCATTCTTTCTTCAAGCCTAGCTTTCTCCTCCTATTTATTCTCTCCCTGCCAGCCCTGCCTATCATTTCTCTGCCTACCTGTTGGCCATTCAGCTCTTCATTAGACCAATCAGGTGCCTTAGACCGGCAAGGTTAAAGAAATACAACACATCTTTACATAATTAAGCAAATGCAGCACAAACAGAAGTAACACAGCTTTACACAGTTAAAGAAATCGTCCGCGGCGTGAACAAATGTAGCAATCCTTGTCTAGTTAAAATAATATTCCACGTTAATCAGTATTTGTGCAATATTGCTATATCAGTGACTCGAGGGCTAAATCAGTGGCTCGAGGGAATCTCGTGGTACTTAATGCTTACACTAGAAATCATATAAGGCACAAGCAATCTAAAATTTCAGAATAAGAAGAGTGAATGAAATCTGAACCAAGCAGAAGGGAGAAGCTGTTAAAATAAAGCTGAGGACCAGTTAAGGGTGGTGGCGCACACCCTTGACCCCAGCACTCAGGAGGCAGAGTCCGGTGGGTCTTTGGGAGTTCAAAACATTACAAGTATGAGCCGAGTCAAAGATACATAATTAGACCCTGTCTCAAAAAAAAAAAAAAAAAAAAAAGAGTTAAGGACTAAGGAGATGGCTCAGTAGGTAAAGTGCTTGAAAATAAATAAATAAATAAATAAAAATAAAAATAAACCGGAACCCAAGTAACAATTAAAAAGCAAGATGCAGTGGTGCACATTTGTAATCTTAGCACTCCTGCTTCAAGCTTGGAGGCAGAGGCAGAATTGTCAGGAAGCTACAGAACAGTGCGTAGTACAGCAGCAGAGGCCAGAAAAGAGAGCCTGCCTCAGCACAAGGCACAAGGAGAGGACCAGCTCCTGAAAGCTGTCCCCTCCCCTGCACTCACGCCATGGCACACGCACTCCCGCTCTGACATATACAGACACAATAAATAATAAATACACACTCAGGAGGCAGAGGCAGGCGAATTGATGCACGTTTCAGGCCAGCCTGGTCTGTGCTGTGACATCCAAGCTGGCCAGGGCTACCTAGGAAGACCATGTTAGAGGAGAAAAGGGAAGAAGGAGGGCAGAGGAAGAGGAGAAGGAGGAAGAGGAGGGGATCCTGAATGCATTAAATTGAATCTGTAGTAAAAAAAAATCTTCTATGGAAGAGTTCCAGAGCCAAGCAGCTTCACAAGTGAACCTTACACATACGTTAGGAACAAATAATACTGGTTTTATATAAACTTCCCAAAGGTCAAAGAACAGAGAATAATTTCCAAACTTTAAGTGGCCACCATCACTGTACACCAAAGCCACATACTAGCAACATCCCAATGAGCATAGAAATACTTGAAAAGACCAGAAAATGGGAAATAGCCTGTCAGGTGGTCAAACTGAATGCACTCACCAAGAATGGACTGGTTAGGGCTGGAGAGATGGCTCAGAGGTTAAGAGCACTGATTTCTCTCCCAGAGGTCCTGAGTTCAATTCCTAGCAACCACGTGGTGGCTCACAACCATCTGTAATGAGAGCTGGTGCCCTCTTCTGGCCTGCAGGCAAACATGCAGATAGTACGTTATGTACACAATAAAATAAATTAAAAAAAAAAAAAGAATGGAGTGATTAAATGGTGATTGTTCAGTGAATGTTTCAAGGTTGTTTATAAGACTGCTAAATGGAGGAGCCTAGAAATGTCTAGGAATGTATGTAAGAGACAGAACTAAATTTTCTGCCATTTCATTTTCTAAAGTTACACCCAGCTGGGACTGAAGAGATGGCTCAGTGGTTGAAAGCACTGGCTGCTTTTCCAGAGGACCTGGGTTCAATTCCCAGCACCCACATGGCACCCACATACCCAACTGTCTCTAACTCTGATTCCAGGGGATCTGATGCCCTCACATAGACATACATGCAGACAAAACACAAATGCACATAAAATAAAAATAAATAAGTAAAATAGTGAGTGTCATTTTAAAAAAAGAATATGTCAGGGCCAAAAAAAAATAAGAAAATAAAAAATTTACACCCTGCTGAAATTTTAGCTCCAGGACATTGAGATGGCTCAGAGGGTTAAGGCCATCAAGCCTGATGAACCAAGACCCATCTGGTTGAAGGAGAGACCTGATGCCAGCAATCTGTCTTCTGGCATGTGTGCACATGCCACACTCATACACACACACAAAATAAGAAATGTTTCATGTTCCCAGACCCCTGTATTGTTTGAAACTCTACACTCAAAAAGTTCCTTAGATTTGTGTGAGAAATACAAAGCTTCTGTTTCATTACAATAGGTTGGTAGAATTCTCTGGTTTGGCGGCTCTCCTATGCAGACAACCACATATGCAGAACGCAGCAGACTGCCGCTCGTTAGTGTTTAAGAGTCGTTGCCTCCCACACGAAAACTGTGACCCAAGTAACCGCCTTCTTCTCTGTTTAGATGCAACGGACTTACTGAAAGCAAAAGAACATAACCAGAGGCTGGACGGGGAAATTCTGGCTTTAAGAAACCGGGTTCGATCGCTTGACTCCGAGAAAAAGTTGCTTGGAGAAATGGTCAGTGTGCTTTAGTTCCTGGAGTTTTTTAGTGTGTATCCAATAGCAACCAGAGGTGTGAGCCACAAGGCTACCCATCATCTAAGCTGGCCCTGCAGGAGACTGGTCCCGACAATGTTGGGAGTCAGGGCACAGAGGTGCTGTGTTCTAACCAAGTGTGTTTTAATCTGCCAGTGCTTGCGTCTCATGCTAAGTACTTGTGCTGAACGTCATTGCTGTTATATAAATGTCAGGCTCGCTTACTTTTGTTGCTGTTTTATGTGGATGTTTCGGCTGTAGGTATGTCTGTGTATGATGTGCATGTAGTACCTGAGGGGGCAGAGGGAGGCTTCAGATCCACTGCATAAAGATCACTATAAACTACCATGTGGGTGCTGGGAACTGAACGCAGATCCTCTGGCAGAGCCGCCAGTGCTCGACACTGCTGAGCCATCTCTACAGTCCCTAAATTAGGATTTCTATACCAGCATAGGATTAACACAGTCATCAGAGAAAAATATTACTCTTGCTTTGTAAAAGTTTGTCATTATTAATATTGTATTCACAGTTGTAGTTTTTATTGATTTTTATTGAGCTCTACATTTTCCTCTGCTCCCCTCCCTGCCTCTCCCCTCCCCTTCAACCGTCTCCCAAGGTCCCATTTACTCAGGAGAGCTTGTCTTTTTCTACTTCCCCAGTTGTAGTACTTCTAAACCGTTTCTTCTTGGCAGTATATTATCTTTAATACATACTTTCATACGTAGTATCTCCAGCTTCAGATTATTTTAGTTTCAAATCATATTTATAGTATTAAATACAGTGCAAAGTGCTCAACAAACTGTTTTGAAAATTATTAAATACCTGTATTTGCACTTTCACAAATAACGATGCCAAATAAAACCTTTTTAGCTTAGGCTTTTTCCCAACTAGTTCTCCTCCCCACCCAAGACAGGGTTTCTCTGGGTAACCGTCCTGGCTGTCCTGGAACTAGCTCTTGTAGACCAGGTTGGCCTCGAACTCACAGACAGGGATTCACCTGCCTCTGCCTCCTGAGTGCTGGTATTAAAGGTGTGTGCCACCACCACCTGGCCCCCAACTAGTTCTTATAGCTTAAGTTAACCTTTTTCTATTGATCTATGTTCTGCCACGTGATTCAGTTACCTCGCCTCTGTGTCACACGTCCAACTCTTGCACACCTAGATTCTTCTCGAGTTTCTCTCTCTGGCTGGAAGCCCCACCTATTCTCTCCAGCATAGCTACTGGCCTCTCAGCTCTCTGGTAAATCAATCGCATTGACACATTTTCACACGGTGTAAACAAATATTCCACAACAAATGCCCACTGGGATAATTCTTATTAAAACAATAAGAAATGACATGTTGCCAGGCGGTGGTGGCTCACACCTTTAATCCCAGCACTCAAGGAGGCAGGGACAGGTTTATCTCTGTGAGTTCAAGGCCAGTCTGGTCTACAGAGCAAGTTCTAGGACAACCAGGGGTGTACACAGAGAAACCCTGTCTCAAAAAACAAGAAAGAAAGAAAGAAAGAAAGAAAGAAAGAAAGAAAGAAAGAAAGAAAGAAAGAAAGAAAGAAAGAAAGG